TGATGGATGATGCCTCTAACTTCTGTCTCAAGTCTTTTCTAGGCTCTGATCCCTCTCTCTCATCATTCCTGCTCAACAGGAAAGAGGGGATGCAGGAATTGCTGATAACAGCATGGTCATTTTCTATGGCATCAGGGAGATGGGAACCTCCTGTGAGCCAGCTCACTCCTCTAGCAAGACATAAGCAAAAGCTGTGAGTGGTGCCTACTACAGCTGCTGCCCCTGAAATAGCAAGCCCAGATCTCAGAGCACAATAAATACCTTGAATTTATTGAAATTGCACTGACTGAATTGCCCCAGTTTATGACAGCATTTTTTCTTTTAGTTATAAAAAGCCCATTGGCTTGGCAAAATGTTTTGGAAATTTATTCTAAAGGGAACAAGCAAAAGAAGATGAATGGCATTTCTATGAACATGTGCTCGTGCCTTTACCTCTTCTCTCTGGTGGTGTTGGGAGACAATTGTCAGGTGCCTAGGTCTATAAATCTGTCATTGCTAATTTTTAGGGCCCTTTGGAAAGGAAATTGGCTATTTTCTTAATGAAGACACTGAAAAAGTCTGATGTATCTAATTATCTTCTAGATGGGGACAAAACACTTTATCCAGACAGAGCATGTCATATGTTCTGAAAAGTCTCACCACAATGCCAGTGACATAGACTGGGGAGATGAGTAGTACTGGAGAGTTCTAGTACAAACCTCACTGTAGGAATCATGGGTTTTTTTCATCTCCATACAACTTACTTGCAAACTGCAGGGCTAGAGTGAGAGATGAGAAGGAAAGAAAGAATTAGAAGAATTAATCAGAAAAATCCACTCTCCTGTTGAGCAATTATTGCATTGCTTGGTGGACAAAGAACTCATTTTGCACTGCTTTCCTCTTGTCTCTGTTTTGCTTCACACCCCAGAAAAGATGTATCTTGCAACTTCAGCAAAACTTGCCTTCTCTTCTAATATTTTCTCACTATTCTGTGCATATTTATAAAATGATGTCTGCTATTTTGGTGCCTGACTGTAACAATTTTTCAGAAGTAGAGATCTGTGTGTCCAAGTTAGGCATTTTTTCCAAAGTAGTTGTTATCCTCCTTGGTTCTATGTTGCACTCTGAAGTTCCTCAGTTAGATGAAGTCTTCTATCCCTTTTCCTAATTTTAGACATTTCATATATGGGTGTCTTGGACTTTTTCCAGATGAAAGGATAGGATGAAAACTAGCTTATTTTCCCCAAATCTTTTTGGACTTGGTTTACCCTTAGTGATGAAGCTGGTTAAAATTTGCTAGTTTGTTTTTTCTCACAAAGGAAATTCTGTTTTCTGTCTGCTAAACCAAAGTTAAATTTGGAATTGGAAGTGGACACAGTGCTGTTGTCATTGATTTTACATGGAATACACTCTGTTGATAGGCAGCCAGATCAGAATATGATGCAAGTATTTGTGTGCATGGTCTTAGAAGATCTTGGACAGGGAAGGGGTAGAGGTGGTGCAGTTTCAGAAGACTATCTCAACAAATCATTACTTTGATAAATCGCAAGCTACAAAAAGCTAGATTGCCAGAACTACCAGCAAGTAAAGAAATGTATGAGAAGCCAGATTTTGTCAGATGCACTTTTAAACTAGTTAACTACTGAAGTAAATGAAGTAATACCTGATTTTGTTAAGTCATTGAGACCAGGATCTAATCCGACGCCCTAAGGAGGGATTGATAGTTCTTACGGCTGTAATGTTGTCCATATAAAACAGGTTAAAGCCAATCAACAATAACCTGCCTTTGCACAAACGTATGAAGGGATAAAATCTTGCTCTTGGGATAATGATTTTGGGTTAGGAAGATGCGTTTTTGCTGGACCATTGTCACCTTGTTGAAATAGGTCTCTGTCATATTCTCTGTGCATGTATACGAATTTGTTAGGGTGTGTGAAGGACTGTGTTTTCCAGAGAAACTTCCCAAGGGGCTCCTAATACTACTTGTAACTATTATTTAGTGTTTCTGTGTGGCTATTATCCACCTCAGACGCAGCTGCAATTTGATAGTAGGAAGGTGATCAATACATACTGTATAAAACAATAATTATTTATTATTTATTGAGTACTGTGGGTAGGCTGCCTGCTATGCAAAATGTAGAAAAAGACAAAAACCTTTGGGTACGTGATCAGAGAGGGAAGGAAAGACAAATAGCTTTGTAATCTGTCCCTAAGGCAAATGCATTCCTAAGTCTGGTGTTGCAGTATGAGCACCATACACAAATTTTACAAGATTATATAGTCTAGAGAGACGGACCAGAAAGTTTGATTCTTCTCTTTTGGGTTTGTGGTGCATAATGTTCCTGTGTGCTAGTCTTCTTTGAGGTGGACTTTTAGCATGATGGCATATTAAAATACTTTACGTACATGTTCCCCAGAGTACATTTGCTGTTGTAAGTACTAATGGTGATAAAATGATAAATAACGATATCTAGGATGTACACTCTAAATGGTTGAAATATTGACTCCAACATAATCAGTGGTGTCTATCGGTTGCTGTTGTCTCTACTTTTAGAAGCGAGTAAATGAGTGGATAAAAAGTTTGAGATGCTTTCACACGGAAACTTAGTATCTTGTTTAAATGAAATAGGCAGTATATAAATTGACTTGAAATATGCAGTAGGTTTGGTTCAAACTCTGAGCTAGAAGGGAAAATTCTTTGTGAACTTTAAGGGTTTTGGGGTACTCATGAAAGCGATTATCTGAGGAAGACGCTTCCTCTGCTCTGACGGCTGGTCCCTGGTAGCAAACTGAAGGAAAAATAAGTCGCATCTGCCCGGCTTCGCCTTGCTGGGACCGGAGGGGCAAAACCCCGCCTTGCTGTGCCGGCCCGGTGAAGGAGCGCTCGAGGAACAAGAGGCTGACGGGCCGAGGGCAGCCGAACAGCCGCCGAAGCTCTTTGCTGGGAAGAGGCGGCGGCAGCGTGGGAGGCGAAGCCCGGCGGAGCGCTGCCGCCCGTGCCGGGGCCGTGCCCGCTGCCGGGGCCGGGCGGACCGTGCCGGGGCCGGGGCGCGGACCCGCGGTCTCTTTAAAAGCCGGGGCCGGTGGGGCGGGAGCGGCGGCAGCAGGGGGCGGCGGCGGCGGCGTGCGCGGGGCTCGGGCTGCTCCGGCACCGCGGCGCGCTCAGCCCTGCGCAGCTCCGCCCGCGGCCGCCCGCGGCTCTCCCGGCACGGCTCGGCTCGGCACGGGCAGCCCAGCCCAGCTTCTCCGGGACCCCCGCAGCCTCCGCGGCTGGGGCCACGCTGGAGCCCCCTGCCCCGCAGCGCAGGCGAGCCGCGAGTTGGCGCGGCGGCCGGCGCCCGCCCGGCTGCGGAGGTGAGAGGGGCGGCGGGCGGGGGGCGGCTCGGCTCGGCACGGCTCGGCACGGATCGGAGGGAGCTGCCCGCCCGGCGAGTGCTGGGCGCTGCCGCTCCGGAGCTCCGCGGGTGGGTTTCTCCTCACCCTTCGCACGGCAACTATTTCGGATCGTTTTATCCCTCTCCCCGTTCCTTGCTGCCCCGGCAGGGCTGGGCGCTGCCCGCCCGGGCGGAGTGGGCGCGCACCGACCCTCGGGACACTCCGGCTCCTTTGGTCAGACTTTTTGGGAGATCGCAGGTCCCGCGGCGGGGCATTTTGCAATGGAAAATTGATGGGGGGGGGGGGCTTTCGAAAAAGAAGACACTACGTTGAGTTACGGCAGGGAGACCCTTAGAGTGAGCCGGCTTTTTGAGTAAAGCTCAAGGATTTTTTTTTTTTTTTAATACTAACGAGAAAAGAAGACAGGCTGAAAAGGAAAGTTTTTTTCTTTAATATTTTTTGCCTCTTCCAAGTCTTCGGATCTATTACCGTAGCGCCTTTCTTCCCCGCCTTCCATTTGTTTGTATTAATGATTTAGTAGCCGTCTTGCCTGAAAACTTCCACCGTGAGTGACTGCTGTGGGTTTTCAGGCAGTCAGTGACCTTAAAGGTTGGTTCAGTGCTTTTTTCGTGCAAAATCTATGTGAAATAACGGTTTTATAGTTTTTTTCTTATTTTTTTTTTTCTAAGAAAAAAATTACACCTGCTTTATAATTTAAAAGAAAACACCTTTGAGTCAGGCAGTGATGTAATTCTCCTACCTAAGGGCACCGACTCTGGTGCTTTGCAGGTGACTTGTCTTTTGCTTACTCTTAAATTTATTTAAATGGTAATTTGATGTGGCTACGAAATAGCATATTTAACAGTGCTGTTTTAAGAATGTATTTTGTTAAAATTTAACACTTTCAATTTTTTTTCTTCCTGATTTCTGCCCCTCCTCCCTCAAAAGAAAACAATAAAAAAGATTAGGCATGAGATCAGCGGCAGAAAAACCAAAGGATTGGGGAGGCAGAACCGGGGCTAAAAACATTGAATCGTTTATAAAAAACACACTTTCAGCTTTTTGCTTTTCCAAGCTCTTGTTCCACCTTTCTGTGGTCAAACTGTTCAACGCTTCGTTGTAAATAGTTTTAAGAAATTATTTTTGTTTTTTCTAAATATTATTTGTCCTCCTGTATTTTTACTACCCGTAATTGTTCTGAGATAAGCACACAGCCCTCCTAAAAAGGTGATTATTGAAATGACCGCTCAGCAATATCTCCTTATTGCAAATTTTGAGGGGCTATTTTTTGAGGGGGCCAACTCTTAACTAGACTGGTGAAAAGTCTAAGAGAAACGTTAGTAGGTGGGGGAAAATTTGATCACAAAAGGTTTTGTTTGCCGTGATGATCCGGTCAGTTATTAATTGTAGCGTTAACCAGAAAGGTCTTACGTCTGTCCCTGGTTTCATTTGAAATGGTCATCGGTGTTACGTTTAGCAAGTTTATATAAGGGTTAGTAGTATTTTGGGGGGAGGAGGTTGCAGAGATTATTGCTCGTGCGTTTGTGATTGAACACACTTTATCAGCTGAATGAACTGGATTATTGTATAGACATAATTTTCCATTTCTCTATCAGTTTCACTTCAGTGTTCAGCACTTTCTTAAACCTTTATCTCTCGCTAACAAAGTGTCTGGTTTTTGGGAGTAGGGAGGTGCGGCTGGGGACACTGGAAGTTTGGGGATAATGTGAGCAACAGGACTGTATTTATTTATTAAAAAAAATCCAACCCCCAAAGTTGGGAGGTGAAGATTCTCTTTCTGGAGCATTCGGGCACCTTCTGCTGGGGGTATGTCTCTAGGCTTTTAATTATTTATTTCACTTTTGTCCTTTCAAAAATTAAGTAGAGCGAAACCAAAATGAAACAAAGTAAAATTAGAGTAAGCATTGAAAAATAAATAAATAAAGCAAGGGAGCGGCTGGATGCCCAATACTTGATTTCATCAACCTGCTGGTGATGGCTTCTCGATAGAAGTGATATCTGCCGATATCACCCCTGTTCCATGGCTGTAGCCTGGCCTCATTTTACGCTGCGTTTCCACTGAACATGTTGACGTGGTGCTGCTTATATAAGGGGAAGAACAAATTCAAGCAGATTAGTGCTTGGGATTTTGAGATCGGCTACCCAGATCGCGCTGTGGGTTTTTTCCTTTCCTTGGGGGAGCCGATGGGGGAAGGCTGGAGAAAGACGGGAGGGGATGAAATCAGAATATGTGGTTGGGAGAAGATGGGGGTGATGCGGGGAGCAGCTTATTCGCATAATGTCTGCGCTGCGTCCCTTTTTCTTTTCTTTTTATAAAACCCATTATCTCTAAAAACACATTATTCTTCAGCTGGGTCTAAAAAAAAAATAGTGGGAGGGGTTATCATAGCGAGGGGGTTTGGTATGGGAGTCATTAGACCCACTGCTGCAAAACCAAGATACAGAAATCCATCTGCACCAACATTTCGGAGGGAGGGAGGGCATAGAGAGGGGGGAAGGGATGGATTGTCTATCTTGCATTAGCGAAGTGGAGCTTTGTATTCTTCATTTTCCTCCCCATTTTCTGCCATTTTCCCCCATCCCCCCGATCCGCACACCCGCTTTCCTCCTCCCAGCCCCCACTCCCCCGAAGGTTTCTCATCCCTTGACGAGAAAATTCTGTGTTACATCCTGATGGCTCTGCGGCTTTTTTTTAGTGCATCACAACAGTGGCACGATGACCTTTACTTCATGCCACACAGATTTGGGCTCCCGATAGGACTGTGACCGCAGCTTGGGTACACGCGTACACCCATAGTCATGTACCTTGGGTAGTCGGTGATTTAATTTCAATTTTTGCGTGTGCATCTTTGTGTGTCTGTGTGGTTGGTAAACACTGGCAGAGGGTAAGGAACGCAGTAATTGCCAAAGGCACGTCCATCCATTTCGCCAGCCCCTCTTGCCGTTCTCTTTTCCTGGACATTGTGTCACACATCATGAGATTTTGTGCTGGGGAGGGGTGTGCCCTGTGTGGATAGCAGGGGCCTGGGGGTTGGAGGGAGTGTATGTGTACTGGGGAGGGAGAAATTGTGTGGGGGGAAATGGACCTGACAATGCTAATAACATTATTTTGGTCAAATGAACGTCTGGTGATAATGATGCAGTGTAACCATCCGTGAAATACATGCTTGCGACACACTGGAATAAAGGTTACTCCAGGGAGCTCCGTCACAGCCAGGCATGCTCGAGGGAGTGTGCTGTCCCCTTGATAGGGGAAACAAAATTCATGAGCGTCCCAGGTCCCCTCCCTTTCCAATGCCTCCTTGCATGTCCGAGCTAGAGGGCATTGCGATCGAGAGAGGGGGTGGGCTGCATTGGAACCAGGACAAAACAAAGAATTCCTGCCTCGTCCTCCCATGCCATCTTCTCTTGCCCTCTTTGAGCTTATCCGTACTGTTGATCCAGACAATACAGGAATATCGCCATTTCCATGCAGTCCCTGCTGGAGTCTGGAGGGTGGTGAATTGAGAGGCGGAGAAAAGCTCCTTGTGCTTCTGTTGTAGGATGTGCAGGAGAGCCATGGCTTTTCAGGTCTGCGTGGAGCAGGGAAAAGGCTGGGGTGAGGAAGCAAAGGGAATTAAGAGTCTCTCCCTCCATCCATTGTTCCCTTCCTTTGCTCCCCCAGCTAGAACACACTGTAGGACTTGACAAGCCTCAGTGAGTGGCTGTGGTGACTGGCACATGGAGATGAGGGAGCTGAGACAATGAGAGGAAAGCTTTTCCTGCATTTCAGGATGTTCAGGACCCTCTCCAAGGCTCACAGAACTGCTCAGCACCCTCCTTTTCTGGGTGTGAAGGACTTCCGTCTTTGGTTGTGGGCTGCTCACACCCAGGCAGAGGGGGAGCTGTGGCAGGAAGGTGCTCCTGTGGTTCTGCCAGCTGCTGCTGCACATTTCCTCTGTGTGGCTGTGCCTGCTCTGAGGTCTACATGTTTCTGGATCTTTCTACTTCACGAAACAATAGCAAAAGTTGAATAAATAGATCTGACCAGAGCTACTTTGGTGTTCGCCTTTTGCTTTTCTCCTTTCTCTGACCTTGAGGTGCAGTGGTAATCTACAGGCAGGAGGACGGGAGCAGGAGTGTCTCCAGTGCCCCACATGGTTGCTCTAGGTGATGCCTGGAGAGATTCCTCTGCTCCCCTGGTTTGTGCTCACCAGAGCCAATCTTGCTTCAGCTGCTCAGCTTCACCTTCTGAAGTAGTTACCTTCTGATCTCTCCCTGCTGTCCTTCTTACCTCAGTTACTTTGGAAGTGGTTGTTATGCTGCAGCTCCTGTGCTTGTAGGAATCTTACCATCATACAATATCCTCAGCTGAAAGTCCAACTCCTGGCCCTGCATGAAACACCCCAAGAATCACACCATATGCCTGAGGGTATTGTCCAAATACTTCTTGAACTCTGTCAGGCTTGGTGCTGTGACCATTTCCCTGGGGAGGATCCTCTTCCATTGCCCAGCCACCCTCTGGGTAAGGAACATTTTCTTAATATCCAACCTAAACCTCCCCTGATTCAGCTTCAGGCTATTTCACCGAGTCCTGTCACTGGTCACCAGAGAGAAGAAATCAATGCCTGCCCTTCCACTTCCCCTCATGAGCAAGCTGCAGACTCTGATGAGGTATTCTCTATCTCCTACAGACTGAACAGTCCAGGTGACCTCAGCTGTTTCTCATAAGGCTTATTTCTAGGCCCTTGACTGTCTTTGTAGCCCTCCTTTCAATGTTTTCTCATACCTTTTTATCCTTATTACATTGGGCTTTTACATGGCTGCTCTCTAAGATAATGTGGTGGCCATCTGAGCAATGGGAAGAATGTATTGCAGATCTGTGTGCCTGCTCCCATCCCATGGAGACTGCCTCCCTGTTATCTCCTTGTTGCCCTGAAGGGCAAAGGTGAGCCCAAGGTTTTATGGTTCCTCCTTTTCCCCAGTGATTCTGACACAAGGACAAACATTGACATAGTGCTGAAATTTACCCTGACCCTGAATGTTTTGCATCCTTGAAATGAGAGGAGAACTCAGTTCCTGCAAAGCATTCAAAGAGTGAGAAGTGGTGCTAGGGGTAGTTTGTGGTAGCAGTGATAGTGGATTTTAAGTCCCTGTGCAAAAGTGGAATTGAAACCTCCTCTGTCCCTTACTGTCTTCCCTTTCTAAGCAAGTTGCCAATCCATCAGGTACAGGCAACCAGACAACCTTTTATTTTTTTTATTTTTTTTTTTTTAAATTTTTTTGTTGTTGTTGTTGTTAGGATTGGATTTAAACCTTCAACCTAGAGGACACCTTCAGGCTGTACAAGATGGTTGGGCTCCTGTCTGGATTATTCCTGGGAAGGTGGAGTTTAGTTCCCTTTTTCTTGTATCAGCAGTAGTATTTTGGTGGATCTACTCAACTTCTTTTTCTGTAGCCTCTTCCAGGGCTCTTTAAAGTATTTTTATTGAGAAGCAGAGTGTATTTCCCCCCTGGATCTGTTTTTCTTTGCCCTTTCCTTTAGCTCTGTGCTGTGGGCACGTGCAGGTGGATGTCAGGATACTGGCTGAGCTGTGATAGGCTGTGTCAATGATAAGGATACACAGTGATCTGTCCAAGAACAAACTGAAGGAGTCAGAAGCTTTATGATGACCAAAAACCAGGATAAGAGATGACCTCTGATGATGATACAGAAAACGTAGTGTTTAATTTAAGACCAAAATGCATCCAACTTTATCTGGCCCTGCCCCCCACCAGCATGAAGAGAAGATAGGCTTTATTTTGGGACAATTGCCCAAGCTGGAGCCAGAAATTACCCAGATTTTGGTTAAGCTTTGGAAATTTCTATCAGCTCTCATCTCTCCCTCATCCTCCTCTTCTATTTAATAGCAGTCTATCAGTCTAACAGAGCTGGTTTGTAATTCATACAGCAAATGGTGAGGAAGATACCTCTTCTATCCTGGTTTCACAAATTAAAAGTATCTTCTTGAAACCAGTACACTACATAATCTTGGTCCAGGTTGTTTGCTTTTTCTTTTATTTTCTTTTGTTTCTCTTCACTTGGGCATAGATTCTGACAATTCATGTGTAAAGGACTCTGAGAATCAGAAGTGGTGTTTTGATGTCTCACTGCCATCCAAACAGCCAGATGAAGACATGTTTGTAGAAAGACATCATGGGAGAAATTTGTTCTGCCTTTCTACTTGTTGCGGGCAATGGATAGCACTTTTAGTGCTTGGTTTATACCCTTTGTGAATTTTTTTTAATGGAAAAATGTGACTTTTGGTTGAGCTAACTTGAGTATGGTTTTACTGAAGTCTAGTAGGGATAAAATGCAGTGTTTCTGTAGTGATGTTCTTGAAAAGCTGAGCAATAAGACTCCTACTGGAAGTACACTAGTGATGTTGGAAGATCCTGCATTCTTCCTTAAGGGAAGGTGGGAACACATTTTCTCTTGTTACCATTGACAGAAAACAGTGCTCTCTGAGCACTGGACAGCTCTTGTGAACTGTGCATTGCACAGCCAGCTTGGAAAAATGCTCTGTCTGGGCTAAAGCCTTCAGCCTCTTTAGACTCTGGGCTGCTGCGGGTATCACTGTGTGGCTTTTCAGAGGGTGGTGGAGGTTCACTTATAGCTGTCAGAAGTTCAGCTCTGTCTGAAATATGGCCTCTTGCTACAGGGTGGATTAGCCCTTCATCTGCTTTACTTCCCCTTTTCTCAGAGCTTTCTTCTTGTTTCTCACAGCCAGGTGCCTGAGTTCGCTGCCAGGCATACTCCCCTGCCTCTATTTTGTCTGCTGGCAGAG